CTGATAAACTAAGATGTCTGAAAGTTGAAGGCTCTGAGGTGACAATGGAAGAAACTGAATCTGTTGGTGTGACAATATCTGGGAGACAAGTGAAAAATAAAGTAGTTCTAGTGGATGAAAGGTTAAGTGAAGTTGTTAAAATGAACAGTGAAGAGTCTCTTTTGGAAAGAGTTTGTAATGACAATGAAAAAAAAGGAAATTCAATTTCAGAACTTTTGGAGTTACAAAGAACAGAGAAAAAGTGTTGTCAAGAAGAGACAGATTGCATGTTTCGGTTGATGGAGACAATATCTGCAGTGGACGTTTTGTCACGTGGTGGTGCTTGTAGCAGAGAGCCTTGTGTTAGGAGTTGGGATCAAGTTCCAAAGGATGGAACATCATTTAATGAGGGGTCAGAATGTCTGTGGTGGCAGGGTTCAGTCTCCAGGCTTCTCTGCCATTATTTACTAGAGGGTAGTGTGCATAAATGCAGAACAAGTCTTGAGGCAGCACAAAGTTGCCATGTGAATGTGCATCCTACCAGAGTAACCTATACAAAGCCAACACAACAGGAACTGAGGTAAGTGGAGTGGAGGATAATTTGGTTTCTTCCTTTAATGACCATTCAGTGAAGTTACTGCATATGGACTGGAGAGCCAGGATTTAATTTACTTCAGAAAAGGTATATTTTTCTTTGTTATCATGTTCAGACTGGCTCTGGAGTCTACCAAGTTTTTGCCTGGATGGCAAGGTGGTTCAGAGTATAAAGCAGAGCCTTTTACTCCCATTGTCTGAAGCTCTTTTTTTCCATTTTTTATATACTGACGCACACACACACACTTGCTCAACACAACAGACAAAATTATAGTTTTCTGTATTTTAATTTTTACATCTTTTGATAGCAAATGGGGGAGATAGAAGGTTTAGAACTGCATGGGAATAAGTATTCCCCAAATTTAGTCTGCTTTTAATTTCTGTGTGAATGAAATTTTTATTTGTTATTGTTACCAAATATTTTGAAAATATGTTCATGTATGTGTTTTCTGTTTCTGTAGGTTCAACCCATCTTACTCAACCTTGATACATATCAGTCCAGGAATCAGTACTGTTAATTTCTATATTTCCTAATCATTATAGACTTTCTCTGTGTTGATCTGTAGCCCAAGCTGCTAGGTCTACTGCCAGGCACTTTGCTGTGAATATGGAGCTTGCTAATTTCTGTGAAACATTGGCATACCAACCCACATAACCATGGCATCATCACCTGAAAGTGGTTATAAAAATATAATGCTTTATACTTTCACAACTTGTCCAGTTTTAAAAGAATGTTTTCACCACATGTAATAAAATACAAATTCATGGTTCAGGAGGAATCTTAGTTTCAGTTAACAGCAAGGAACTGTTTGGTTAATACCAGTTAAATAGTAGTAATTTCTGAATGTGTTACTAGGACAGTTCTACCCTTTCCCCAGTTAATACTCTCATATTCGCCACGTGGTGTGTAACATTGAGAATGCATTTTGTGTCGCAGGTGGCGAATGGCACAGCATGCAGCAGATGAGATCATGTTACCCATAGTGCCACTGTGGTGTCGCCCAGATCATCATTCTGTGGCTTCTGATTACATGCCAGTGCTTCGTGCTGTGAGTCGCAATGAGCAGGATCGCCTTGCTTGTAGCACAAAGCGTCGCAACAGGTTCTTTCACTATCTGAAGGGCCTGAATGTTCATGCAAATGATGCTACGCTGAATACGCTTTGTGCTGTGTTTGCTAGCATGCATACAACATAGCACCCAAGGTGCAGTTTCAACTATTGGAAATTTGTTTTTTGTACTGACATCAAGGAATAAATTATTTACTTTCTAGGGTAAGTATGATAACGACTGATAATGAAGGGAATGGTTTGTCTTTTAAGTAAACTGTCTGAGATAAATATACATACTAGATTAGATAAGAAAGGATTGAGCACATACAGTCTGTTTATGGCTGTTTCAGAAATGTAGCAAGGGTACAGGATGTTGCAATTGGACAGGAAATTTAATTTGATGAATATAATATTTATCTGTCCTGAGAGGAAATTTGGGTAATAGTGAAGCTAAAACAATTGTCTGAGAAAACAGAGATATGTAAGAAACAAAATGTAAAAACAGTCTGAAGAAAGTTTAAAAATTAAGGTAGTAAATTTTATCATAGAAAAATGTGAGGGGAAATTACAGAAGAATGCATACAACCACAACATTTTACCAGACTGTTAAGGTATAATTTGGTATTTGGGAATTTAAGAAAATATTGAAGTTATGATACATTTTTGAGATTGTGATTTTCTTGGTTGCAACCTTGTAATCATGGAGATGGTTATTATTGTAACCATCTATTGTAAGATTTTATTTTCAAAGACATTGCGTACATTAAGTCAGATTTTTTGTTTTCTCACTAAATCTTAATGTTGTATTCCTTCTGTAATGTGGAAGTGAAAGTAATTCATAGTTGGACCTAAGTTTTAAAGGATAACTAAACAAATAGAGGGCTAACTGCGATTTCCCACCACAAAATTGAGCATGTTATGAATAGGGCCTCCAATTCTTTGCATCAGGACAGTGATGGACTCTTGTGTATATAATAACCTTCCAGTTCTATAAAAGGCAGAAAATTTCTTGATGAGCTGAATGAGCATCAGCTTCCCAAGGACTGCTTTATTATGTTAGTTTTCCAGCTTGCTAAGCATAACATAGCTTGGTCATTCAGTAAGATATTTGCCAAAAGATTAACAGTTTTTATTGTTTTAATAAGATGTGTGTTTCTGAAGAATGCTAATGATTGAAGTACACAAATGAACAGATGCTTAGGAGTTAAGATCAACAAATCATATGAATGTATGTAATTTTGTTAGTAGTAAAATTCTGAGAAAAATATGAAAGATTTGAGGCCTGATGGTGGTGAAGATGTTGATTGTACTCACAGAGCACATCTGACAAAAAAAATATGAGTTTGGTACAGTAATAGAGGATCATTTTAACTGGAATTGCAATATTTTGTAGGTTTAGAGGTTACTGTAGAATGTACAGCACATTTAATTGCTAATAAGACAAACATAAGTTTAGAGGATTATTTCAAAGTTACAATAAAATGATTTTTGGGGATAGTAGGTATTGTCATGTTTTTGGATTATCCATGTTATTTCTCCCCTGCATATTGGTGGATATTGGACAGTTCACTGTATTTTATTAGTCTGCTTTTCTTGTTTTGAAAGAAAGAGTAGATTTACCATATCATCATATCCATGTCTGTTGGAGTCTTTCTGTGTCAGTCATTTAACATATTGTATATTATATTGACTTTTTTGAAGAATGTTTTGGAGCCGTCTAGCTGGTGATGGGAGAATTGAGAAGCAGTCACAACCTTTCATGCGATTCTTGGTGTAAATATGAACTGCTTGCCCTCATACAGGGAGCATGTATGTTGCCAAGTTGTGAGCAGTGAGCAAGGTTTGCAAGCAACACAAGCAGTGAAGTATGCATGTTTGAAGAGAATAAGAGCATGATTGTAGTTTCTTGTCAGAACAATCAAGATTGTGATATATAAACTAACAACTGCAATCTGGAACATAATTATTTGTAATAATAGTGTGATGAATAAAATCGTATTTCAAGTAAGGAACCCCACTGTGACTATTTCTGTTGCCTCAAGTGTTCAGTCTATGAGGAATTGAAGTAACATGCATTATAATGGTAAGTAATTGTATGTTTCTAACAAACATGTAAGTTAAATGAATGATACTAATAGGCATTTTAAATGTCAATACACATCTCTGAAACATAAAACAGTAGTATGTATAGGGTAATTGATACAATATTAATTATAGATGCCTTAACATTAGTATTTTTAATGTTTTGACACATTAGAACATGCATTGAGCTTCGCAGAATACCAGTTTTTGGAACACATGAACATTTAAAGTGTAGATTGTAATCTGTAAGTATCAACGATCAACTTTTTCCGATTTTGAGTGTATATTCTGATCGAAAGTGGTGTGATTATTGTTAAAATGTGAATTTATATCGTAACTTGACGAAACTATTGATTTTATTATCAATAAAAAGCAGGATTTTAAAAACAATACGTTGCCTTGTATCACTTAAACAAGATGGGAGGGATAGGAATGAGATGTGAGCGATATTTTTGTATTAACCTATACAAGAGGCCATGGAATATTGGCGGGGAAGGTTTCGTAAGGGTTTGTTAGCGTGGTACGCTGTGTTAATTTTTATTAAGGAAACGTTGAAATGTTGCTGTAAATGAAGTCTGTATTTCATTTTCATATCTAAATAAACTGCATAATTTGAAGCGGTCTTCAGTCAGTTCACAGCTTTATATCGGTAAGATATTGCAATAACCGAATGAGGTCAATCCGCCGTGTATAACCTTATTAGTGATCAGTGTGGGACTTGGTATAAGCTAAGCGTTGGCTAGGGACCTCCCTGTATTGTAAATTTGAATGTGTAGTTTAACGTAGTCATTATTGAAAACAAAAAATTGTTTAATTCACAGAAGTTTTTTTTATTAATAAAGTCTTCTCGGGCTATCAGCCGTGTTAGATGTTGATTAGTCAACATCTAACACGGCTGCTAGCCCGAGAAGACTTTATTAATGAAAGCCGCAGTGAAAGCTTCACATCATATAACACTTCAGTTTTGTTTGTTGTTTGATGTTTTCGCTAGCCAGAATGATAAATGAATATTTCGACATAGAATTTATGGGGTTACTTAAACTTGACATATCATAGACCCCCAGAAAGTCAAAGTCCGGCCCTCTTAGTGATGGACTACTATCAGTTTGGTGAGGGCCTCTAGTTTTAAAACGAAAAGTTATTAATTGTTGGTGGTGGAACATATAGTTACCACTGGGCTTCAAATGTTTCATTTGTATTGCCTTCACCAGCAGTATATGAAATGGACATCACACAACGTCTTGAAAATGCTTGCATTCATGTGGGAGGGCAAGAGAATGCAGAAGTGACCAAGTGTGTAGCATCCACCAGTTCTGGAAATTGTGTTGCGGTTGATAGCTATGCTCATATATCTGAAGAAAAAGAGAAGACGAGGGAGAAGAAGAATAGAAGACAGAAAAAGAAATCAAAAGCTAAGGATTCAGAAAATGTGTATGTAGTCATGAATAGTTTGATTATTATATAATTTCTGTTTCAAGTTCTTATTTATTTGCATGTACTTTATGAACCAAAGTATTCAGCCAGTGATATAGTTGCCTACTGATTCCCATTAGGGGTCCTGGGAATTTTTCTCTTCATCATCTTATTCAGAAAACTCTGTTCACAGGAATAAATATGACAGTATGTTGGCTCTAGAATTATGTACCCTGTGACCTTTAAATGCCTACTCATAAGTTACTGGTGAAAATAATAAGCCATTTTCTGTTTGCTAGGCAGTTTATGGTATAGCTTTAATCATGCTGTATGCTGGCTAGACAAGTTGAGACATAAAATTTGTCTATAGCTCAGCACTTGGCATATGGTGGCAATTGCAAGATTTTATATGTAGCAGATGGAAATCCTGTAACATTCATTAAGGTAACAGGAAAGTAGAATTTTTCAAGATGGATACACAAATTATCTTATTTATCTTGTAGTGGTTTCAGCATTTAGTGATGCAGTGCTGATGGACAGGTTCTGTCACATCATTGATAAGATGATAATGGGGTGAAGTAGGAAGGATCTGACAGCATTCATGGCCTGTTTTAAGTAATTGTCTGATATTTGTTTGGAGGAACTGAGAGAAATAATGAAAAAATCTTTCAGGATACCTGTCTCCATGTCAAGTTTGAAACCTGGAATTTCTTTAACATGAAGCAGGTGGTTTGACCACTACATGTTTTAAAATGTGATACAGAACACTTTTTTGAAATGACATTAACTGTGGGGTTGCAGTGTAATATTACTTCAGCTCTTTGCAAGCAGTTAGTGGCTTAAAGAGATCATCATTGTTACTTAACCTCAAATCTCATTTACATAGTAGTTGGTGGTTCATATTGTACTTACTCTGGTATGGTGCACACCTTTATTTTTGGATTGGAAAATAAAAAAATATCGTGTTTGTGAAAACATACTTTAAAAGTAATAAAATGTAAGTATGAAAAGAAAAATACTGTGTGATATGAGAGAGGTATCTGAAGATTAGGTGGGCAGAGTTCACATTCATTATTGCTGGTGGTATTTTATAATGAAATTGACCCAGCTGCACTGTCATATTTTAAATCAGTCAGATGATAGTGTGATTATTGGCTGCACACACTGTTTTATGTATTACACACATCCTAATTTTATGGTTGAATAATTAAAAAACTGTGTTATATATGAGTAAATATGGTTATTAAATTACTCTTATTTATTTCAGAGAAGCAAATGAAGTGGGAATTCTGATTGAAAGAGGAGTGAGTGGCAAAGAAACTGATAACAAGGAAATAGTAAATGTTCAGTGTCAGGAAGGTTCAGCAAATTCTGTAACATCGCAGAAACAGAAAGCAAAAAAGAAGCATAAGAAGACGAGCTCCATGCAATGTTCACCATTACATTTATCGAATATGCATCAAGATCAGTGTATCAATCACATGCCTGAAGTATCACATTCTAAGAAATGTACGTCTAGAAAGGGAACAAACACAGATGACAAGAAAAAAACAGGAATGTAAGAAGTAGCAATGGTAGCTTTCATTTTGATGTTTTAAACAAGGTATTTGAATGTAAACAGAAATACCCCATGTGATGTGAAGGGCCCACTTGAGAATACAAAATGAAATTTGCCACTTCAGATAAAACAAATTAGGAAATGTATACATAACATAATTTCTGAAATGTTCACCAGAATTTCACTTTTGACCTTTGCAAATGGAGCCAGTGATGTCAGACTTGTTTGGGTGGCTGGAGATTTCCCAGGTGACTGTGTTAAACAAAATAACCATATTACCAATTTATTGTATTCACAAGTACATATTTATTTACATTCTGGGATTTGAAGTTTTGATGGCAATTGCCTTTGGATTGTGATGACATCTGTACTTGTAGATAGTTACCAAGGTTTTTGAGGAGCATGTGAGTATCAACCCCATCTCTGTTGTATATCTAAAATATTTTTAGAGGCTTGTAAGATTGTCAGTGACTCCAGTAACCATTGAGATTTTGTGATTTTTAATACAAAGTTGACAAAGGGTTTGTGTGGTCTGAAGTTCTTGCAGTAGTGAAAATGTCAGTGTTGTTCTGGGATTTGATACCTTGTGGATTCATAGCTGGATTATGATGTTTTGGAGAAACATACTGTCTCCATCTACAGAGTTGAAGAACATCAGACTTTTTAACACAATGAGACTATTGAAAGGCCAGTAGAAGCAGAAAGGAAGGTGCAGTGTGAACAGTGGTATCCATTGTGTTAAATAAAGGAGAGGCAGTAAAGTGGTGCAAAATATATTTTATTTCCTCATCATAACAACTGGGATAATTATGCAATGGGCAAATTAAAAATATAGCAGTGGTTAATTATGACATAAAGAAGAATGCTGGTCCCTTCAGTGCTTAGCAGCAAGAAAATTTATATAAAGAAAGGTCATTAGTTTTAGTTCTTTCTGGCTACTTCTATAAAATAAAACAAGGTTATATTTCCATTTTATACACATAGGACTTGTAACAGAATTGTGCTAGGAGAGCTTCTTAGGTTCTCTCACTTTGCTTCTTACTCAAGCATGCTCTTCAGCGCTCGCAAATTGTTGCTAATACTGCAGAGTTGTAAGACTGCCAGTATTGACTGAACTTAGCAATTAATATAACAGCTGTAAACATTTTTCTTCATTTTCAGCCATTCATCAAATGCAACAGCAACAAAGGAAAGTAACACTTTTGACAGTTACTTACCTGAAAGTGAAGTAATTAAAGGTCTCACAGAAAATACTTTAATTAAAGGTGCAATTCGAATCAACCAAAGAAACTACAAGGAAGCTTATGTCAGTTCACCAGTGAGTTCGCAAAACCATTGGCTAACAGAGATATATTAATATGCATAAACACAAATTTTGCTTCTAACACCTGTAGAAATAATGGCCCATTATTAAATTATCGACTATTAAATAAATGATAAGATGCACACAATGTGCATATTTCAGTTTTACATGCTTAGTTCACTAAGAGACTTTGTTCTTGACTTGGATCTCAGTATATATCAATCAAAGGAACTATCTCTCATGCAGCTTTTGCTTGGAGAGTGGAAAGATATATATATATATATATATATATATTGCTGTAGGTTGTGGTAGAATCAGCGTACTGCCATGCATGTTGTAATGTGTCTCAGCTCCTTGCATGTCTCCATTCCTTTATTTCTGTTAACATACTATTCCTGTCAAGCTGGAGATGCATCATGAAATTTAATTATGTTGTTGTGTCTATGTTTTGTGTGCTCCTTTTTCTTACTACCACTCATATCATATACAGTTTCAAACAGGCCATCATATTAATAATTTATTTATTATTCTGTTAATGTCTAAATATTTTTGACGTAAATACGTCTATATTTTAGGGTCAGTGTCATTCGGCAAAAATGTGTTACGAAAAAGGGAAACGAAAAAGTGTAACTTCATTGTTATGTTACCTAGGAAACGTCATCTGTTTATCAACAAATAAACAACAATGGTTACCTACATACTTACATTACCTTACCTTACCTTACATTACCTTAATTACTTTACATTATCTTACCTTACCTTACATTACTTTACATTACATTCATCTACCACAGACCCATCTTAAGCGTAACTAATTCAAGTTAAATAAGCAATGTCTTAATCAAACTTTACTCAATTGTAAAGCATGTATGATGTATTTATGTCAAATTCTCCGGAACCGTGGTTCCACTGACAACTTTTTGTAGATATATATAATATCTGTGGTGGTCTTCTGGATTATGATATGTGGGCTTGTAGGTGGGTACCAACATTTTGGAGGAATATACTGTCTCCATCCTACAAGTTAACATGGTGTCACAACCCAGAAGACCACTGTGGACATCACCGCCACCATGAACATTTCAAGTGTTGTGTATTATTTATTGTTTGTTGACCTATATTTTGTTTATAATTTTTTGGTAATATTAATTATTTGCTGTTTTTAGCCATTATTCATAATATTAAATAAAATAATGTTGTATTACAATTTGTTGCATGACTGATATTATAGTGTGTCTGTAGAATGAATTATATATGCTTTCCTAGTTACATCATGTTTTACCACTTATTCAATATGCCCTCATGTTTTCTCACTGAGATTCAATGTCTTGCAGGACAATGATCAGGATATCATGATTGAAGGCATGAGAAATCGAAATAGAGCTTTAGAAGGAGATGAAGTGGTGTTAAGACTTAATTCAGAATCTGAATGGAAGGTAAGAAAAGTACTTGTGTGAGAACAGTTATATATTATTTTTCCATCTTTACACAACAAAGTTCACATGTACATTTATACTCTCTTACTTGCACTTTCAGTGCCTTGTGTGGGGTTGAAGGCCTAGTTAGTACAGATATTGCCTTTAGTATAAGTTTAGTGTATTATTACAAACTTTACAGTTTTGAGTCTGTGTTGAATACAGATTGTAAAAGATTGATGAACTAAGTAGTGTCGAGTCCAACATGTTTATAATTCTCAGTCTGACTCTCAACTTATGTACTATTTATTTTTAAAGTCATTGGAGTATCTTTAAAATGTATGTTTAAAGTCACAGAGAGATTAACTATGCATTGCTTTAGTGTTTTAAAATAGTATTTTTCATTACCTGTTTTGGTCTTTCATGACAGGTTCAAGATTCTAAAACACAAAAGACTGGTAAAGTAAGTATTGAGGTTTGTGTTTTATGAGTTATAGTATTTTAAGTAATGTGTAACAGTTGCCGACAAATCCTGTAAACTTCCCTGAAATTAATAAATTTCATTAACAAAAAACAGGATATGTAAATGCGTCATGAACCCTAGAATCCTGTTTAAGTAATTAAGAGCAGAACATTTTCTTTTGTCATTATATACTTTATCTTTGTTTAATTTCAAAGGGAAGAATGTGATTACCTTTTAACCATTTATTTTATTACCATACCAGCAAAGAATATAACTTGAAAGTGTATTAAATGTATGATGCATGTAGAAGACTGAGTTGCTGGTAAGGTAGTAACACTAAAATATAGATTAAGCAGCATCAGAATTAAATAAAGGGTCAGCTGTTCGTTGTAAAAGAGATCAATGTGCAGTAAAATAGCCACTTCAAAACTTACAAACAAAATTGGTGTTGACATTATTAGTTATAAGGGTTCATATAAGTGGGTCTGATAACAGTTACATTATTTTGACAGAAAACCTATGTTTGTACAAGTTCTGTCTGATGTATTGCTATCCTATACAGTATTTTTGCAGATGCAATAGTCTTATGAAATTCACAAAACTATTTTCAAGAATTGTCACATGTAAATTGAAGCTGAATTCTATCTCAGCTTTCTTTTGTCCTGTTCTTTTATTTGATTCCAGGTTGTATATATCCTTGAGAAAGTACACCAAAGAGGAGGTGTAGGAATTCTTAAATCAATGACAGATCAGAGTAAGAAGTTTGCCCTCTTCTCACCAAGAGATTCTCGCATTCCACGGATAAGAATTCCAATAGATAACTGTCCAGCAGACTTTCTGAAAGAAACTAAGAAGTACAAACACATTCTGTTCCTAGCACGAATCAAAGACTGGCAAGATGTACGATATGCTGTGGGGTAAGGAAAAAAGTTCTTGTTAATGGCATGATAGATTTGGGAAACTATTGTATTTTGAATTACAATTGAAACCAAACCAAAATATTGTGGACTAGATGTGAAAGTCATTGCCCATGTTGATGGAGAATTGAAAGACATGGATACTACACAGGACAACATTAGCATTATAATTTCTACATTAATTTATGTTTGTTTGATAGTCTATTAAAAATGTAAGATTTGATGACTGTCTTGTGGGTTGTAGTGACCTGATGCTGGAGGCAGCTGTGACCTCGAAAGCACTATTAAACTTCTACCAGGCTACATGGTGCTGCAACTCAGAAGACAGCCATCTTCGAAGATGCTTCTGTTTATAAGAAATTGTGTGTTAAACAATGGTACCATGAGAATCATAACTTAAAAAATGTGGCCACTGTTTTGTTTCTGTCGTGTTATCTAGCTACAGTTCAAGCCCACTCGTTTGTTTCAGACTTGAGGTTTATCTAAAACTTACAGTAGTTATGTGAGATTTGGGGTTTTCTTTGCAGTAAGGATTATGATATTATTCTCCAGCATTTTGGCATGCAGTAAACTTAACTGGTACCACATTGTCTTTATACTGTGTAATAAGAATTGATTTTTTATGCTGCAGTGACATAATAGAACAAATTGGAGTATGTGGTGACCTGAAATCAGAAACTATGGCTCTACTCTTAGAAAATGATATTGAAATTTCACCATTTGATGATAAACTTTATCAGTATTTTCCTCGTTCACCATTTGTAATTCCAGAGGATGAAATCAAATCAAGAACAGATCTCAGGTGAGTATATGCTTGTAGTTACTGAATGTACCAAGTTATTGTTTATTTGTAATCTTAAGAATTAAAGCACGAAAGTGTGCAGAATAACAGTTTAAAATATGTGACTGGATATCTTACAGTTCGGTACAGTTCTGCTTATTCTGAAAATACTGGAATAAAATTCTTTGGTCATTTATCAGGCTGATTTTTTTTTTCATTTTTCTTTGATGTAGAGACAGTTGCCTAAATTATATCAAAGTGAGCCTTGACTGCTAATTTTCAAAGCAACATACTCAGAAAATTTCTTAGTGGCAACATGTCTTTAAAAGAATTGTTTTTTCCACCTTCCTCCTGCATGAAGAAAGATATAAGCCTGTGTAAGGTCACTTGTTCTTACTTCCTAATTGGGCACACCATTGTCCATGCCATTGTTACCAGATTTACATATTTTTTCCCTATATGTTTATTTTCTGCTGGTGAAACTTGGTCTCTTACTCATTACCAAAATTATTATGGTGATCAGGAAGAAGGGAGCGACATTTGGGGCATGTAGCCCACATAGGAGAGATGAGAAATGCATGAAATTTTAGGCAGGTACCTTGAAGGAAAAAATGGCTCTTAAAGAAATAGCGTGTAAGGATGTAGACTTGCTAAGAATAGGGTTCATTGGGGAGCCCTTGTGAACATGGTATTGAACTGTCAGGTTTCACAAAGGGTGAGGATTTTCTTGACTAGCTGAGTGACTATCAACTTCTCAAGAAGTACCGTGTTCCTAGAAAATAAATAATAATGTTTTAAGAGTATTTTTGTTCTTTTAGAGATGAGTGCGTTTTTACGATTGACCCTTTAACAGCACGAGATCTGGATGATGCTGTATCATGCAAGGAACTTGACAATGGCAATTTGATGATTGGAATTCACATCTCAGATGTTTCATACTTCCTTGAAGAGGGAACACCTCTAGACCAAGCAGTTGCCAAGAAAGCAACAAGTATATATTTGGTTGAGTCTGTAAGTTTGGGTACCTGTAGGCTGACTGACCTTCAACAGCATTCTGCTATACCACATCTTAGTATTTTAAATGATCTGTTACACCTTATCTCCCTAACATTTTTAAAGCACAAAAATTATATTCTAAACTGGTGAAAATAGTCATTTAAATGTGTTTGTCCTCCTAAGTGTGTAGTTTGCTAGAGCAATTCTGTATTGTAAAGGGTGATTTAATTAATATATTTGTTAGTATTTATGGTTGCTTGTTTATTACCACAAATAACATTTGAAAACTAGTATTTATTTTATTTTACATTGTGCTCTTTTCGTAACAAAAGTAACAGTTAAATTTATGAATCAAATGTAATCCCCAACTTTCAGTCTTTTATTTTTGGACACCTTTCTGAAAGAAAAACAATGGTTAAGTTTGTGTTTTGCGTACATACTGACATACTGATAAATTTTCTCTGTGAATTTTGTTGTGTAATGTATGACTTTGAATGTTATTATTATTTTGAAATTGTGTGTGTGTCATTCACTAATATTGTCATATTTGGTGCTGAGATTACATCGTCATGATCAAAGAGAAATCACAGACTGCACTTGTGGATGATGAAAGATCCTTGGGCTACAAGCCGCATCAGGTGGCTGAACAGTGAACAAACCATATCTTCTGCCATTGTTTCGAGAACAACATCCCCTGAGGATGAGAACAGAGATTTTTCTCTAAACACTGGCAGAAGATATGGTTTGTTCATCGTGGAGTTCAAAGCACAGGACTTCCATAGATGCTTCCAGCAATGGGAGAATCACTTGCATTGTATCAGGTCATAAGGGAATTCCAGTACTTTGATGGCGGCAGCATGGAATTGCTGCTACATTTTTTCGGTTTAAAGAAATTATTCAGTCCGGAAATCTTTCGGTCACGCATCTAAAGGTGATATTATGTTACAAACTTATTCTTTCAGGTGTACCATATGCTACCTGAAGAACTGTGTCTGACATGCTCCCTGTTGCCTGGTGATGATAAACTAGTAGTCTCAGTATTTTTGGAGATGTCACTAGAAGCAGAAATTATTTCTCACTACTTTACTCGGTCTGTCATCAACTCGTGTGTTCAACTTGCCTATGAGCATGCACAGGTATATCTTTTACTGATGAAAGTTTTATAAAAGCAATGTACACACAACATTATCATCCAGCACTTTTGAAAAATGTCCTCACATTTTACTCTGTGTGATTATCTTAAAAAATGTATACATAAGTTGCATTTTACAGATTTTTCTGTAAGATTTGAAATTACAAACTCTGATATAGTATATGGCATATATTGGCTAGGTAGTAATATGGAAAATAGGGGTTAAGTAGCAAGTAGTATTATCTCTTTAAATATCAGTGGTAACTATATGTACCATTTGCTCCATCAATAAAAAAGTTTCATTTTTTTTCTGTGGGTTTCTTATGTTTCTTACTTAAACTTGTGCTTTGTAATGGAGAAATGTGCTTTCTTTGAGGTTCAGACTGAATTCTTAAATAATGTTTGGCTTCAAAGGATTATCTATACCTGTTATTTACCTGACACAGCTGATACTGAAAAGGACAATAAAGTATCGTATATTGTGGGTCCTAAGCAAACTAGCCATTCAAACATTGCTTAGAGGTGTAGTGGCAAAATTCACCTAAGGCCTGCTCTGAATACTGTTCTGTTATTTATTATTATTGTACATTTAGATCATGCTGGAAAACCCAGAAAAAGAATGGAGTAAAGATGAGCTACCACAAATCTATGGAAAATACACACCTAGAGACCTGAGTCGTATAGTGAATCATCTTAATCGCCTTGCTGTCATCATGAGAAAGAAACGATTCAAGGATGGAGCACTGAGGATTGATCAACCAAAACTCAAATTCTCTCTGGAAAGTGGCACTGGCCTTCCCTCAGAATATTCAGTATATGTTAACAAAGAGTGTCATAGGTAATTTATACTGATCGATTTTATGACCAGTTTCTTTAAAAGTGCTTCCAGCAGCATGCGTTATTAATGACAGTCAGAAAATTAAATATATCAAAGCTAAGGTTGAACTACAATTAATTTGGTTCTTCTGTGTACCAGATGTAATGGTAATACTAAGATGATTCCATTGTCTGGGACTAACATAAGTAGTTGTGGCATTTCCTCCAAACTGGTTCTGGGTATTGATAATGACATTTCTTTCATACCAGATGTTATGGTTATACCATGTCAATTAATTTTTCAGGAAATAGGTGGTGTAATTTCTTTCATGTCAAAAGTAATGGTTATATTACCATAACTTTGTCATTTGGAAGGGGAGCCGGGATAGCTCAAGTCAGTGTAATGACTGGCTACAGACTGGATGGCCGGGGTTCGATTACTGGCGGGGCAGAGGAAAAGCCAAGCACCTACATGGCGTGTAGTGGGACACCTTTACTTTACCTTACTTTTCTTTATGAGTCTTTTGGAATTACATAATGGCATTTCCTTCATGGCAAATGTTCACATGCATCATAATGCATACCCATGTCGCCTCCCCTCACACATACACACACAGAGCGTGTCCATGTATGTGTACACACATTATTTTGAGTGTTTGAGAATGAGTGTAGAAAAGCCATGACTACATTGAATATGTTGATGTTGGTCTTCTGGGTAATAATGCCATGTGGACTTGTGAGTTAATATCACTGTTTCAGAGGAATATGCTGCCTCCAACTTCAAATATGAAGTCCAAACAGTCTTACAACACAGAAGACCATCATGGACATCTTCATTAATGTGAGAAACTCTGATTTCAACACTGAATGTATTTACAGGCTTATTGAAGAATTTATGCTGCTGGCCAATGTGACTGTTGCGAAACAGCTCACTACATATTTCCCAGAGCTGGCATTCCTACGCCGTCATTCACCACCTCGTAAATATGTTTTTGAAGAATTAAGAAAGACTTTGGAACAAAGGGGTATCTTTCTTGATGTCAAGTCAGCTGGTGGGCTACAGGCTTCCATGTGTCGCTACGCTGGTGATGATTTTACTAGCCAAGCCAGGATGCTGGTGCTTAATTGTCTGTGTGCAAAACCCATGGTTGTAAGTTAACAGATTTTTTTTAATGACACTTCTTTTTTTTTCAAACTTGCATAAACTGAGAACAAAGAATAAAAAGTAATTGTTAGTTAGACACAATCAGTACTTTTAAGTGAAGTGTTGGTGATGGTGGTAGTAGTAGTAGTAGAAGTAATGGAGTAATAGATGTAGTAGTAGTCTTCGGAGGTGGGTGGAGGGGAGGGGCTTTGGAAGCTTGGAGTCATTTTACTACTTTCTTGTTTTCAGGACTTTGACTCTGATGTATTAAACTATGTTACCTGCAAGAATATTGTGCATTGCTTCTTTTATTTTTCACAATGTTTATAATTCGTGTATGTACAAAAGCAAATGTTATTTGTCCTGATGTTTCATCCATTAAAACTTGCAGTGAAATACCCTGATTCATCATGTTTTTGGTTGCCGAGTTTTCTTATGTACACATTTTTCATTTTTGGCAGTGTCCGGTTTACATACTGTGTTTTTGCACACACATGGTTCATTCTGTATCACACAGTTCGATTCATTTCAGAGATCAGATATGTTGATCTCACAAATTGAACATGTTAAGAGAACACAAATACATAAGTATCTGTAATGCCACATTTATGTATGTAGATCCCGTTTCAACATTATTTTGCTTTTAATTAATAAAACTGCATCATAGTTGCCAAGTTTATCATTGGAAAATACAAATGTAACCAATTTTAAAATTTATTTCAACATTGTTAGTTAGTAGTTAACATTCCACATTGTTTTCTTTGCTTGAGAACCTCCTAAACTGGGGTATACACATATTTTTTAAACTTGATTATAAGAGTGTTTTATATGCAGTGCAAATAATGGATATATTCTGCTATGAACCACAACAAAGATACTGCACCAGTGTTTTAACACATATTCATAGTAACCAAGGTTTCAAAAGTATAAATTAAATCTACTAGCCAGTTAACTGTCACTTTTGAAAAAGACTTCCTTGCACATTGATTATTCAAAGTCTTTTGTGTGATGTTTTGATCACCATCATGAATGGAATATGTATATTTGCTTGGGATGGTGTTAAATAGGGCCTTTGCTGATGATGACAATGATAAATCCTTGATTCTACAGTAGAGAATTTCTCTGTTTCTGAAGGAAGACATTTTCATGTTTCATTACTGTTCCAGCGAGCTGACTACTTCTGTGCCAATTTTAAAAAAGCTGCAAAGTTTGGGCATTATGCTCTCAATATACCTCTGTACACTCACTTCACATCACCAATCCGGAGGTATGCTGATGTGATGGTCCATCGATTACTTTGTGCCTCTCTTGACTACTCACCTAAACCTAACTGGGAACCAGATCATGTGCAGGCGTAAGTTGATATTTATTAACTTATTTTTGTGTGGATTTGTGGTTTATTTAACAGTGCTTCATGTAGCTCAGACTTTATAGTGTTGGATGATAGGATGATAATGAAATGTGAAAGATGTGTTAGGAAGCGGTCATGTCCTAATTTAAGGTGCTGCCCCAGAATTTTTCTGAAGGGACTGAATAAAAGTGTCAAAAACCCCAGATGGGTTAGTGGGTCTCTGGACCAAGATTTGAACCCAGGACCTCCTTCCTAAGTCTACAATGTGTAACTTCAAGAAGATGATGACCTTTATGGATCTCCTCTAGTTGGATGTCTAAGGTCCTTATGAGTTTTTTCTGTATGTTATCCTAAGTCTTCATGGATGAATGTGGAATATGTACAGAGATGCAGAAAGCATTCCTGTTTAAAACCTCCTTGTAGCAAAAATCTTATTGAAAGAAAATAGTCTTATAATAAGATGCAGTAATTTTGTTTGGACTTCTTAACCTTGAGCAGAAGAGTCTATGGGAGCTTTTTGGATTTGATCCAGCATTTTGATTGTTGTTCTGTATCCAATTACTGTGAACCCACCATAAAAATATCTGTGGTACAGAGATGGGATGTGTGATTGTGCATTAAGTTCCTCAAGGATGTCATCCAGTATGTAACTAGTAAAGTGATTTGTTGACGTGCCGTGATTAATTCTGCGTAAAATTTGAAGTGTCTGTGTAACTATGATGGAATTTCAAGGACAACACTACCATGAATTTATCTTCTGGAATTATTACATATAACAGGATTTTCTCACCACCTGATAGTAATGTTCATACCATTATGGTGCCACCTCATTTCTAGAAACTGGCATGCACTACCTGAAAAGGATGTCAGAATTAAAGTATAAAATGTACTTCTTACCTTTGAACTCCTACAGTTATTATACCAGGTGATTCAAAAAGGACTTTACAACTTTGAAAGTGTATAGAAATTTATTCAGAAGGCTTACAGAATCGGTTGAGGTGTCATTTTGTAGCAAAACAAATCAAGTTTGACTCA